GGAATCTATTGTTGGTGATAGGTACTGATCACATTCCGGGGCCTCGTGGAAAGAAAAGAAGGTACAAGAAATTCACTTAATCCTTCTTTTTCCTTTTCTCCTTTAATATCATAGGATACAGAATCAGAGAAATGTCTCATAATTTAATTGGCAATGGATGATTTATAAGACTATATTAATGACTTAATATATGAGAGTATTTTAAAAGAGATTTCACATGAAGTACAAAATACCCACTACATACCCATAAAAATTTAAAAAACAGACTTCTATTCCCGGTAACATTTAGTTATCATTTAGGTTTGAACGTTCAAAGATATGCATATTGTTCAAGCATCCTTTTTTTTTTTGGTAAAAGTACACACAAAATTTCAAGCAAATAAATTTGCATAGGAATGGTCATGATATTTTGACAAGTTTAGGATGGATAAATATAGAACTGACGCAGAAACTGTGATGCCTGACAGACGCTGGTGTTTGCTTCATTATTGTCATGGAAATTGTGTATAAAAATAAATTTAACAAGCTTTGTTATGTTTGGTGCAATTGAAAAAGTTGTTTGTGTAATTCCTTTGATGATGAACTGACTAGAGTTTTAATGATGCCATTGAAGAGAAAAACAATGAAGCACCATTCCTAGAAACTGGTACTGAGAAGCATAGAAAAGGATCCACATTTTGTAGATTTACCTTGAATACAGCTGTTGGATGAACATAAAATTTGAAGAGTTGGAAGAAAAATGAGATATAGAACCTAGCACTTATAATGAATTATCAAATGTGAGTAATTGCACTCAGTTGAACCAAAACACTTAGATTTTTGAAGCTGACTCATCATTTTAATAATTTCCTTTTAAAAGCTGTTTTACGCCTAATAAATTCATATAACATCAAAGTGCTTTGAAACACAATCTCTATTTCTTTCATTAGATAAGGAAGAAGTGAAATTTAAAGTAAAATGTTCCCTTTAAAAAATCTATTTTTGCATGATATAGTGATTACCCCACTCTTTATTCTGACTGTCTGGGTTCATGATTTGGCTCTACCTGGTGGCAACTGTGTACTCATAAAGTAGTTTTTGGAGAAAAATTTGGTTCACAGAAGCAAAATTTGCCAAAGAGAAAGAGCATGAGATTATATGCAGGATGGAGGTTAGACAGAAAAGGAAAAACTTTGATTTCACCCTTGCTGATATGCTGGTTGTTCAGGGCTATGACCCAGAGCCCAGGACCTGTGAATGGAAACTCAGCTGGCATCATTCTCCCTGTCAGGGATAACCATGGTATCTGATTTTATCACTTCTACAGGGGAGCAATGTTACCAATACATACTATTGCCTCTCTCAAAGAAGAAATGGCACTCATAAAACTATTGCGTTTTCCTGGATTTATAAGAAGAAAAGGGAGTACAATCAGGTATTTATTTGATGTGACTCTCCTTTTTTGTTTTGTGTCTTCTAAACTTCTTAATTTTGATTTCCCTGCAATGCCTAGTATTTACTGGAGCAACTATATTCCATGAAGTAGAAAGAAAGATTTTCACATACAGGGATTTACAAACCCTTATATCTTCTTCTTCTTTTTTTTTTTTTTGAGAAACACTAAGAGATAGATAACTGGCCATTAAAGAATAAAGTAATACATAAACATTTCACCTGCATTGGGTGAATTGAAGACTTGGGCAGTAGTAAACCAAGCTGTGAGGCATTTTGAATTTTCAGGGTCACATAACGCAGTTGTGTCAGGAGACTATTTACTGGTGAGCAGAGACCCCCAAAATGTAGGCCTTCTGAGCCTTCTAAAATTTGTGTTTATCATTCTCTAGACTTTCAACAGTTTTACTGCATGTGTTTCTATTCTTAAATGTTTTGTTCAGTTTTGCATGTTTTTGAATGCATATAAATGAAATCATGCCATAAATATTCTTTAAATACAGGTTCGTTAAATTAATTGTCTCTAAGATTTGACCATATTGTTCCATTTAGCCATTATTCACTGGTTCTTCTTCTACCTAGTATTCAATTTTCTGGATATAACACAATTTGTTTATCATTCTTCTGTTTATAGATATTTGAATGTGTTCATTTTTTTCTTAATGCAAACAGTGCTACTTAAACATTGTCACAGTTTTCTCCTGGTTATATACAGGTGGCTGTTTCTAGTTATACACAGTTACTATGGCCTGATATTTGACCCCCACACAAAACAAGAAATTTGTTTTATTTGGCAATCAAATAAACCAAAAGTTTCACACACATCAGAAGTAATCCTCATTCAATGCAGTCTCATATTTTTATTCCATTGTATTACATTTATACTCTATACCATGTTATTTTAGGTTGTTAATCTCTGGTCACTCTCCAAAGGCCACGACCATAAAGCCAAGAGCATAAAAGTTCTAGTATATTTAACTTGACAAAGGAATTCAGTTGAAGGCTGGTTCACTTTTACACCCATCTATTTGAGATTCTTCTTTTACTGAACATTACTGGACATTAGAAGATTTCCTGCCAGATGGGCATCTTATAAGTATGCTGTATATATACAAATGTACATATACATTTTTACACATACACAAGCACAGGATTATTTGTCGATTTCAGCAGGAGTTTGGTATCCAGTCTGCAGTGTGGCTAGAAATGGAAGTCCTTAGGTTTTGGAATCTTAGGAAGTGAGACACATATTGGAATTCTGTATTTCCAGAAGTACTAGATGACCTTGTTTTGGAAAAATTTCCCATTAAAAACGGAAACTAGACAAAATATAAGAACACATAAAATTATAGCTATTGGTGGAGACCAGAGATCTACCAAGGCATCAAGAAATTAGAACACAATCCCACAGAGTGGCAAAGTCCAAGTTCTCGAGGAGAAGCTCTCTGTGGACATTTGCTACTATTTCCCCTGCCCCTAGTCATTTGCTTACTTAAAAGCAGCAGCTGAAAGGTAATGTAAACATACGGGTAAATGGAAATGGATATTGGCTGTATAAGGCAACGATAAAACAAGCATTTTGGCAATACATATATCACATGGTAATAATAGCACAAAAGATGGGAGGAAAAAATGAAATTAAAGTAATACAGTCCTTATGTTTTCTCAGAAGTGGTAATAGTATGAATAATATAGATTTTAACAGGGCAAAAAACACTTTGAAATCACTAGGACAACTCCAAATGGGGATTTAAAGAATATATAGCTTGCATGCTAAACAGGAGAATGGAATTAAGCAATAAAGGGTAGCTACCAAAAACTATATCAATTATTACAGTTATTGGGGAAATAATCAAATATTTTTTCCCTGAGAGCTTGGAAATGAATGATAATATCTTCTATTACTATTTATTTTCAACATCGTGTTCAACATCATATTAGAGGTTCTAGCCAGTGCAATAAAGAAACAAAAGGTATAAAAATGAAAAGGAAGTAGAAAGCTCATTATTTTTGTGACACAACTGTGTAGGTAAAATATGTAAATGAATCTACATATGAACTTAAAATTAATAAGTATGTTTAGCAAGGTCAGAGAATTCAAGATCAATATTAATTATACTTCTATATACCAGCAATAAACAAGTAAAATTATGTTTAAAAGTCATACCACTTATAAAAGCATAAAAATTATACCTAATATAAGAAACTTAATGAATATCCACCAAAATGACTAAAATTTAAAATACTGGCCAGGCATGGTGGCACACACCTGTAGTCCCAGCTACTTGGGAGCCTGAAGTAGGACTATCACATCAGCCTGGAAAGTCGAGGCTGCAGTGAACCATGATCGCACCACTGTACTCCAGCCTGGGTGACAGAGCAAGACCTTGTCTCTAAAAAAATAATAAAATAAAGTAGGCTGGGAGGGGTGGCTCATGCTTGTAATCCTAGCACTTTGGGAGAACGAGGCAGGCGGATCACCTGAGGTCAGGAGTTCGAGACCAGCCTGCCTGACTCCGTCTCTACTAAAAATACAAAAATTAGTCAGGCGTGGTGGTGCATGCCTGTCATCCCAGCTACTTGGGAGGCTGAGGCAGGAGAATTGCTTGAACCAGGAGGCAAAGGCTGTAGTGAGCAGAGATTGTGCCACTGCACTCCAGCCTGGGTGACAGAGCAAGACTCCGTCTAAAAGAAAAAACAGTAACTAAAATAAAATAAATAGTAACAATTCTAAGTGTTAGAGAGAATGTGAAGTAATCAGAAGTCTTTTAGCCTGTAGCAAACCCACTGTTAGTATACAGGCAAAAGAGAACCTTACAGTTGCTTGCCAAGTGTTTGCAGCAGCATTATTTGTAATATCCCCAAACTGAAAATAGCCTAAATATCCATCAATAGTAGATGACTGATAATAAACAAATTATGGCATATTCCCAAAATATAATACTAAATCGCAATCAAAATTAACTCACTAGGGCTACCTATAACAATATGCATGAATCTCACAAAATTTTGTTAAAATAAAGAGTCCTAACACAGATAAATATAGATTTTTTGATTCCATTTTATAAAAGTTAGCAAAATTGATCTATGTAGATGGGAGTGAAGATAATTGTTAACATGGAGGAGGAAGGCTAGAGATAATAACTGAGTGAGGACATCAGAGTGACTTCTAAGGTCCTAGTAATATTCTATTTCTTAATCTAGGTCGATATGGGAAAGGCTAGAAATGAATTTTTATTCATAATCTTTATTTTTCACTCCTCTCTCTGAGCCCTTTGTCATATGACTTTAGAGTTCCTCTGATAAAGGCAGAATATAGCTCCCTATGTGACCCGTTTTGGTTAATAGAATGACACAGAAATGAAGGTATGTCTGTTCAAAGCCTAGGCTTCAAAGGTCCTTATACATTTTTATTTTTTTATTTCATTTTACATTTTTGTGGGTACATACTAGATGTTTAAATATCTCATGAGGTACGTGAGATGTGTTGATAGAGGCAGGCAGTGTATAATAATCACATTATGGGAAATGGGGTATGCATCTCCTTAAGCATTTATTTTCTGTGTTACAAAAATCTGCAATGCTTCCCGAATTTGTCTGCCATCTTTGTGCAGAGGCTACGCTAATCTCCATATCATTTCCATTTTAGTGTATATGCTGCTGAAGTAAGCACTCTCATGCATTTCTATCTGCTTTTTAGTGTTTCTGCAATCACTGTGAATAGAACATGTCTGTGTTAGCCTCCCAAAATGAGGATGGATGGGCTGTAGAGGAGAGACATACCAGATGTCTTACTTTGGTTGTGTTGTTATAACAAAATACTTTAAACTAGCTAATTTATAGAGAACAGAAACGTATTTTTCATGGAGGCTGGAACCCATGATCAAGGCACCAGCAGGCTCAGATCTAGTAACGGCCTAATCTCTGCTTCCAAGTTGGTGCCTCGTTGCTGCATCCTCTGAAGAAGAGGAAGGTTGTGTCCTCACCAAGTAGAAGAGGTGGAAGGCACAGAAGGGCAAAAGAGAGAGGGGCAAACTCCCTCCATTGAGTCCTTTCATAATGACATTAATCCATTCATGAGGGCAGAACCCTCATGACCTAAACACCTCCCCAAAGACCCATCCTCCCAATACTTGCCTTGAGGATTATGTTTCCAACACACAAAGTTTAGGGGATACATTCAGACCATAACACCAGGTAAGCTGCCCCAGCCAAATGCAGCCTAGAGTGAGTCCCTGTTGGTATTTGCAAATGCACAAGTAAGCAGCTAACTGCAAACACAGGAGTAATGCTAGACACGTGGGCTCTGCTCTTGGCTGGATTTGGCAGGTTTCATTTAGATGGGAGAGTTCTGTTTCACGTGGTTTTCATTCTCTTGCACAGACTAATAGGCTAGACCAGGTGTGTCTTTCTCATGATGATGGCATCAGCTCATGTAGAAAAGCATTTTACACAAAGTCTCTTGGATTCTTGACTTGGAACTAGCTCTCCATAAGTTCTGCTTTATTCCATTAGTCAAAGCAAGTTAGTTAGATGACCAAACCCCAAATGAAGGGACAGAGAAATGCCCTTTTTTGTGGAAGAAACTGCAAAATCTCAAGGCAATAGCTTTAGTCAGAGGAATTGTGAAGTATTGGAGCCATTAACACAATCTTTGACTCCTAGAAGGATATCACACAGTAAATAAGTAATTATAGCATAATTCATCCATTAAAAGTATATTAAGTATTATGATGAAGAAATACTGCATGGTAAGCTCTATATGGAAAACAAAAGAGAAAACAAATACATTGTTAAGCGTTTCTATTTCAAGATTACAATCCTGGATAATTATAGTATTGACTATCACATCTCCATAGGAGGAGCTATTTAATAATGCACATGATATCTCATCTGTATTTTGTTAAATGCATAAAACTGACATTAAGGAACAAAACTAATATCCTGGATATGTAAAAATTTCTGATTATTTTTCTACTTAATTTTGAGAGCTAAACAAGCCAGGCTATTTCCTTCTATCTCTGATGACTTTGCACAGAACTTTTACACCATTTGGGATTACATACTATGTGGTTTTATATCTTTAGGTTTGAGAAACATATATATTGAGAGATTATAAGGGAGTGAGGTAGGGAATTATTAGGGAAAAAATTTGTCCTCAAAGTGTTACCTTTGCAAAGAAAGAAAAATGCACCCCCTTCATACTTTCCTGGGTATCTTGTTCAGGGCCCATCTCATTATTCTACTGTCCACTCCTGACTCTCTCTGCAGGACGAGGAAGGAGTATCTCATTTGTCCACATAATCGGTTGGTGTTTCAAAAGCTCTCTTTTCTCCCTTGACTGCCTTCAAGCAGAGTAAATTCTTCTCTTTTTCCTCTTCAAGTGTAATAAATCTTTGGGGATCTATCCTCTCTTACAATAGGGTGAAAAGATGAGGAAGAAGCTGCTGTTTTGAAATTTTACCTGTATCTAGGTAGGCAAACTCAAATAAGAGTGGGATAAACAAAATATCCCTGCGGTATTTTCCAATCGAGTTTTACCAATAATGTATACTTAGATTCTGATTTGGCTTCTTCTGTCTGCTGTTAGTCGATTGGATTTAAGACGGCTGCAAATTCTTTGACGTTCCTTCCATTGAGAGTGGGGTCTATATCCCCTGCCCTATAAATTCAGTGAGGAAGTGATGCTATGTAACTTCCAAGGCTAGGCATACAATATCCATGCAGCTTTTACCTTGTTCTCCTAGGACAATCACTTTCCAGGTGCTTCCTCTTGGGTATCTCAGAATCCAGCTGCCATGCTAAGAGAAACCTAAACCACCTGGGGAGGCCCTGTGCGGGTAGCCGGCTTACAGTCTCAGCTGAGGAAGATTAAATCAGGCACCACGCAAGGAAGTGAAAGAGGCACCAAAATCATAGACCAGAGACCAGTCATTTTTGTTGGACACTGTCTGAATTCCTGATCCACAGAAACAATTAATTAATATAATCAAATGGTGGTTTTTTTTTCAGGCCACCAAATTAGGGCGCATTTGTTATATAGCAATAATGACTGGTACATTTGAGAAAAGAGCATGGATGAGGGACAACCATACATCCGTGCAACAGATGAATCATACAAAGGAAAAGGACAATTCTTGGGAAAGAGAACTCTCAGAAATGTCAATCTGTTTCAGGAGTTCAAGACTCATCAGGATCCAACTGGCCAGAATCGGTTGCTTCCAGTTAAGCCCCTAATATTCAAAGCCAACTATTAGCACAAGTCTGAAATGGTTTTGGGAATGTGATTTTAGAATGACCGAGGCCAGATTGTAATCACTAGAAACACGAGTATTATCCACCTGGTCAGCTCCATGCCTGCGCCCTGGAATGATGGGAATATATATGTATGCAGCCTTAATTACAGAAAATTTAAAAATAGTTGTGTGTGTGTGTGTGTGTGTGTGTGTGTGTGTGTGTGTGTGTGGGTGGGTGTACTACCTTAGAGAAAAAGACAAATGACAAGAAAACAAATTTATATCAGAGTTCGAGCTTAGTCATAATACATACTCATCTTCAGATATTCTTTAGATACACATACACACACACACACACACACACACATACAAACACACACATACATATCTCCTGGATTTAGAGCAAACCTTCATCACCTCTTCTATTGTCTTCATTTTTACCTATATTTCTAACTATGAAATTACTATTTATTTGAATTGAAGATCCTAAGATAATTGAATATTTATTTTCTCTACTACATGTCAAGTATGTTAAGAATTTAAAATTTCGGTAATAAGGATGAGACAAACAGACAAAAACCTTTAAAATAATTTAATAGGTGAGGTCATCAAAACTGGGCTATTCCCAGAATTTAATGATCCAAGTTTTTTTGTCCCTCTTTCAATATTGCAGAATGGTTACAAAATTTATTTTGGAATTTTAGTATAAAATTTACACTATTTTAGTGCCTAATTCACATCCTTGGGATAACAAATTAGTTTACCTTTGTACTGGTTTAGACTCAGTTTCAAATTACAGGTACTCACAGGCACTAGCTTAAGCAGTATGGTGTATTCATTACAATGATGCTAGAATATCTCATAGAATTGAAGGGTAGGCCTAAATTTAGTTCTCTGGAATTGCTTGAAAACAGGAACTAGGAGGTTTTATGCCTGTCTTTGTGTGTGTTTCAATTTTCTCTTTCTCAAGGATCAGCTGATTCCAGTTTTCCTGACCACACAGCAAAACAACACTAACAACAACAAAACATGGCTGCTGATGAATCCCGGGTTGACATGTTGCTCCCTGGAGCAGACTTCTCTTTTTCAGTCTCAACTTCAAATTCCTAGGGATTGAACCATGAATAGCTTAGGCTAAGTCACTGTCTTTGGGGGATGGACTCTGATGGCCCTGCCCTGTCAGGCCTGGTGAGAGGACAGGGCCATGCTGCACAAAACAGCTTCCCGGACTGACTACTGCCCTCCTGTGGTGAAATGGGGGAAGCCGCTCCCAAATACGGGTGGTATGAAAAGACTAGTCAGAGTGAGTTCCCACCAGAAATCAATAATGAATGCAAATTCTGTATTTTGAAATTCCAAAATGAATTAATAGGGAGACCAATGAGTTAAAAAGTCTTGCTTTGCCACCTAATATGCTTTCCATGTTGGAATGCTATGCAAGGCATCTGCCAGTTACATTAATCCCTTCCAGGAGCCTCCACATAACAACCAGGTCTATATCGATCTAGCCAAGTTCTGTTCCCTTTGCATTGGCTATGCAGTTGATTTACAAGGGATTCCTGCCCAGCACAGTCTAAGGGGATCAAGGGGAGAACCCCACATACCAGCGACACACTATGCTGGATTGTGCCGGTTAACTCATCAAAGCATTCTTTTCCAGATGAGTTTGAGTTGAAATCGGTTACCTTGACATTACAGTCAGTGCAGGTGCAGCAGGCTGTACAGTAATAGCTGGAGGTAAAATGGTAAAATGATTTCCATAGAGCCCAGACAATACCTGTTTTAGCAGAAATGACCAGTAGAGATGCTTCTGATTCAGCACATCCAGACCAATAGAGCTGGGGTTGTATGAGTACTGTAAGATATTGACATTTCAGGCCCCAAGTGGCTTCTAAGGCCTGCTCTTATATTTCCTTATTTACCAATAAATTGTTCAAATATGTTCCCATCACCTGAGGAAAACTGAATATGATTCTGTGCTATGCAACTTAAAAGAACCTATTTGATACACTTCTCAGGAGGCAAACAATTGACAGTGAGACTGAAAGGATGCTCAGATTAACAGTAAATAAATTTGAAAAGTGTTAGTTTTATTGGTATTAATAATGAAAAATAGTAGTGATAATAACAATGACCACAGTGCTCACCTCTTTATAGTGAGTGCTTACCGTGTTCCATTGAAAATACAGGCATTATCTGAACCTGAACAGCACATGAGTCCTATGAGGTTGTTTCAGTGTTACCGTTCTCATTTTACAAATGAGGAATCTGAGGCTCAGAAAAGTTAAGTTTCCTGAGATCCTGTAGCCGGGAAATGATGAAGCCAAAAATGTGACACGGAGCCTAAGCTCTTCACCCCTTTGCTGAACTGCTTCTGTGGGACTTTTTAAAGATATGGAGTATCGAGAACAGATCACAATTCCATTTTGAGTAACCA